GTCTGTTCATATTTCTGTCTACTGCTTATCCGAGCATGTTTAATATTGCCCATTCAAACCTATGATTAGTAGGTTTCCACTTTACTTGCTTGTTTGTTATATTGTTTAGCATGTCTGCATATGTTTGGCCTAACTACTGTCTTTCTTAAACTCTGATTCTATATAATTAGCATGCCTCCATTATTGATACTTGCCCAACATGCTCATTTAAGTCCTTGCATGTTCTGTTCCTACTAAGTCAGTCAATTTTTTTAAAGCAATTCTAGATGTGTGATGCATGTTTCTGCTGTGATCTTTGTTGCATATGTAGAACCCCCTCAAAACTTCCTATGTCCTGTCGTTTGTATGCTCCATTAAGAGATACCCTCTATGTTTCCAACCCCTATCCCCTTTGTGCGAAAGTTGTTCATGAAACTTGTTCTATGACTTGGTTTTGATTGCCAATGGTTTTCTTCACATCTTTCCTCAAACTGTTTCAGCACTAATGGTTTTCAAAAGTTCTTTTTTAGTCTTAAGACCTTTCTATTAAACTCTTTCAATTGTTATGCACCTCCACTTATTCTTAGAATACTAGGTTCTGCCCCTCTGACATGTGTACTGCCTTGAGATCTCTCTGAACTCTGGCATGTCAGAGCTGGCCTTTCCACACTGCACCTAAGTCAGTTATTATTTGAGAAAAGGTCTAGGTGTGAGCACTGCCCGGGATCCTTGAGATCCTTAGGGAACTCTGACACACCTAGACACGAAATTGTCTATGGAACTTTGGCATTTGAGGCCATTGGAGGCTTGGGAAGTCATTTGGGACTACTGCAGACTCCCTATAGATTAATTCCTGTTTATTTATGTATTTTTATTTAATTCATTGGCCTATAATAATTATCATAAACAACATTTGGGTGATTAGTGAAAAAGGGTGGGTAGTTATATATGTTGGGTAAATCGGATAGATACCATGCCTATAGGGTTGTGTTAATTCAATGTGTTTGCCATGTTTGCTTTTCTTCCACAATATTAGAAATCATGTCTATAGGATCTAAATGGCTTTAATAATAGAGATCATGCCTATATGGTTAAAATCAGCTTTATAATTAGATACCATGCTTATAGGAATTAAAATCAGCTCTAATAGAAATCATGCCTATAGAACTTAAAACCAGTTTAGTTTAATTCATGTTTATTCATTTTGAATTGGTTTAATTAATCTGTCCGCTTCTCTAAATAAGTTTTTTTGAATACCGCCTTAAATTAATACCGCTAGAAAGCATGTATATAGGATCTCAGGTTGTCTGCTTAAAATCAATCACTGTTTTACTGAATTCCTAATAGATATCATGCTTTTAGGACGTCACTGTTGTGCGCTTAGGCAAGCCTATAGGGCGATTAAACTCTGCAACTATAAAAACTGCGTTTGTTATTTTAAAAACTGCTCACATTCAACAGGTCTAAAATCAGTAAGCAAGCTAATAGGTTTTTGACACTTGGTCCTAATTCATGTTGTATACTTCTTGCTCACCTAGATATTATGTTCTAAGTTTTATTAAATACCTGAAACAATTGATTGAGACGTGCACTTGTTTGTCCTACTTGTGGAGGTAAAAATATGAGCCATTATTTGTTCATTCTTTATGTATAGTCCTAATTGTTTTGATTGACGTTTAGACTTTTCTCCTTTAAATAACTTAGGATGGTCTAGAACTGTCCAAAAATAGAGGTCCTAAAATACCGCCAAGGCCACGAGGAAGGGACGGGTAATGCATGCATAGGACATTTTCAAGGTTGTTAGAACGCTTTAAGCTATGACCAAGGGGAGGGAATTGGGTAATAAGGATATGATGACTACGCGCTAATGTCACGTGTAGCCCATCATTGAGGAGTGATTATCGGGCATTGTGTGGGGTGATCCTGTAGGCTAACCAACCTAGGACCCATTTTTCCCAATTCCCGATGTTTAAACTTTACCTTTCTCTATATATGTGCAACTTGTTCAAGTCTTTTCCTTTTGTCTCATTACTCGAGTCATACAATGTCCAAAACATGCCTTTATTTGCAAGTATGTGTTTAAATTATTTATTTGTCAAAAGGACTAATTCATAAGTATAAGTTCGGTCGGGACCCACCGTTGTGGACCGAGAGGGGTGCCTAACACCTTCCCCTTAAGGTTATTTCGAGCGCTTACCCTAATAGCCCGTTTGGCGAAGCTGCAAAAATCAGCTTATTTTGAGAAGAGCTTTTTTTCAAAAATATTTTTCTCAAAAGTACTTTTGGTGAGAAGCAGTTTGTGTTTGGCTAATTAGTTTGAAAAGCACTTCTGAGCAGCAATTAGTGTTTGGCCAAGCTTTAAAAAACTGCTTCTAAGTGTATTTTTCTCAAAAGTGCTTCTCAAAAAAGTACTTTTGGAGAGAAACTACTTTTTTCTGCTTCTCCAAAACTGCTTCTGCTTCTTCTCAAAAGCACTTTTTTTCCTTCCAAAAGCTTGGCCAAACACCTCAATTTTTGGCCAAAAGTGCTTTTGGCCAAAAAAAGCACTTTTGGCCAAACAGGCTATAAATCTCTGGTAATGCAAACTAGTCTAAGAGTTAATCGCTCTAGGTGCCCTAATGCACCATAATCCGTTAGGTGGCGACTCTTCAAAACCCAAATCCCAAAAGGAAACGAGTTACTGCCCCCATGAACGTCGGAACCTGGACCTCTCTCCGCATAGGGAAAAAAGGGGGCGCGACAGAGGTCATCACTGCTGAGTAATATTGGTTTGATTCACTTATTTCTTTCATTTCTACTTCATATTTCTTGATTATTAATTTGTATTGAACTAAATTACATATCTTTAAAACTACAAATCAAATTTAATTGTTACTCGTATTTTTGAGGTAAACAATTAAGTATTCATTTTTCCAATTAATCAACATCAACTACAGAACTGCGAATTTCCAAAACCTTTTTTTATTGGTTTAGTCTATGCTACAGACGTAATAGGGAAGAAGGGGTCAATTTGTAATTGTTTTAAGAAAAATCAATTGTTCGAACTTGCTTTGCCATTTCCCAGAGAAAAGTCCAAGTTTGAATAAGTTTCGCTATTTTGATATTACTACAACGTTTAATGAGTTTGCCATTTGTACACCGCAGGGATAAATTTTTTTAGATTAAAGAATCTTGCAACAATGGGTATATAGTAAAGTTAAACAGGTAACCTAACAAATAAAATAATTTAGGTGTAATGGCTTCCTGACTACTTAAACTTGTAGGGATTTTGAAAGCCAATACACGAATTTTGAATTTTTCCATTTGAACACTCCAACTTGACAAAATGGATAATAATAAATATATTTGACCGTTGACCATGCCTATGTGGAAGCACTATCGCTGACATGGCTAAACCGTGTGCAAATCACGCTCCCAAAACACGTGAATAGTATTGTTTTTACTTAAAAAAAATTAGAATTAGAATAAAATATAAATAAAAAAGAAAAATGAAAAAGAAAAAAAAAAGACTTTTCCAATTTTTTCATCTTCCCAGGCGTCCACCATGGATTAAGTGATGCTATCATATGAGTAAGTGATGCTACGAACTTCACCAGACCATGCTGGAGCATGTAAGTTCAGAATCCTAGTGAAAGAGGCTGAGTAGAACTGGAGGGTGCATTGGCATTTGGTCGAACACTGTTATATGAACAGTGCGTAGAATGACCATTTTGGATATTCGAAAGATTTGGCCCATGTAAGGTCTGGTTTGAAGGTTTGGAAACATTCTCCTGAGGAGCAGGAGTAGTTTGGCATTGGTTTTGAGTCCTTTGGTTTGCCTGATCACCTTGCCCGACCAACTGGTGAAGTTTTGAGTTTTCAACTTGGTGGTGATGGTTGATTTCTTGAATGGATTGAGCTGAATCTTTGCATAGAGGATCCATGGGTGTAGTAGAAGGAATTCCAATTGGAAACTGGTCTCCAATTGGCCCAGAATTGATAGGGGCATTTCGTCGAACACCTTGCTCAACCGGACTGCCTGAGCTTTTGGATTGTAAAATTGGAGGAATTGGTTGGTACCCATATGAAATTGGAAGTGTAGGAGCATTCTCCTCGTCAAGGCGAACATTTTGGTACCTTTCTTTTCCAATTTGGATACCTGGATCACCTTGCGCATTCATTTTTGCCTCATCGGAGTTCTGCTGCTCGTCGGAGGGGACGATTCCCACGGTGGAATTGTCGAACTATGTTTCAGGCGTTTTTTTTTTCCTTTTTGTATTTGTTATTTTTTTTTCTTCTGATTTTGTATTTAAAAATGGGATCCACAAATAACACATGGCAAGTAATAAATAGCTTAGCATGATGTGTTGTACATGTCAGCGCAATTGATATACACGCTCTAGTGAATGTGTTTATTATTATCCATTTTGTCAAGTTGAAGTGTTCAAATGGAAAAATCTAAAGTTCGTGTATCGGCTTTCAAAAGCCCTACAAGTTTAAGTGGCTAGGAAGTCATTACGCCAATAATTTAATATATCATCGGTGTATATAAGTTAATCCAACTATAGGTAAAAATCATTTGGGCTGCGTTTCTCTTTCCTAATACGTCTCTTCTTGTTCCTTAACTGTAGCCATCCCTGCCCCTCTACTCCAGAGGGTTGTTGAAACGCACTCTAGCTGTGGCGATGGTGGTGGTAAGGGTGTGAAGGTAATGTAGCAATGAAAATGGGTTTTGTTGCTGGCCCATGGACGGAGCTTTTGTGCGCAGAGGATTTTGAGAAAATGGTTTTGTTGCTGGGTAATTTTGTTGACAAAATGGGATTCATTTGAGTTTTTTTTTTTTTTTTTT